TCACTTTAGGTGAAAGTCGTGCACTCCCAAGAGAGGAAGGTGGGGTAGGAATCAAAATTTTCATTTTATATAGCAGAAATGTGACGTTATTTCTTAAACTTAAAGCAGGGAATTATCGTGTTATATAGTTGAACTTTTTTTGTTAATAACTTTTTAACGAAGGACGATCGCCACTTAAAACTTGTCGGAGGTCACTCAGGGCCATGACCTTGATAACATATGTCAAGGTTAAAGTCATCGGCAGGGTGTCCCTTAATCTAAATAATTACTTAAATTGATTTTAAAATTCATCATGAAACATTTACCTACATCAAATATTTGTTCCTTATAATTAAAATTAATTATAATAAATAGATATATTTATCAGTTATAAGTAAAATTAATATTAATGTAAGAAAATTTACTTACGTTTTGTTTGAAATATTATTTATATAAATTATAATATTGTATTTATTATTGTTATTTTTTATGTTAAATTTTTCACATCTGAGAAGGAACACGATTGTAATTTTAATAGATAAAATATTATATATAATTATAATTTTAAAATAATATAAAATTAAAATTATGTAAAATGCAACGGCCTGATTTTATTTTCTTAATTTATCACACAACTTTTTTCCCTTTAGCAAAAAGATAGAAGGAAGTAATAATAAAAATATTTATTTCCACATTAATATATTTCTTATTTAAAAAAAAATAAGCTTTTTATTCTTTAAGACAAATATTAAATTTAATAGTTCAAAATAAATTAATTAGTCAAATATTTTAGTTTATTAAAGAAAACTACAAAATATATAAAAATATATTAAATAATTTAGTGTGACAGTTAAAATCTATTTGTAATCAACTTGTCAAATACTTTTTAGTATAATACGTAAGAAGTAAGAAAAATTAATTAACAACGATGCTGTTTGAGTAATAAAAATTAAACAGATAAAAAGATTGAGAATTCCAGAATTGACTACGATATATAATACATATTACAAATTTCAATTTTAATTAATTTACAAAATTTAAACAGAAATTTTCATATTTTTCTATATTATTCGTGTAATTTTCATTGTAAATGTTACATGTCCTTTTATGCAATATTCTAAGCATATAACAGGTTTTGCTGAATGTTTGCTCTTACACACTTCAACGTTGTTTGCGATTAGACCTCGCTGCATTAAAGCACGACGAGTCGCCTGTAATCCAAGCCAAAGTAAACTACCATCACTCCGTCGTCTGTTAATCGTCTGTCCCCTTTCCATTTTTTTAACGATTATTGATTGTCGCGATTTGCATACCGAGGCGGTACAATCGCCGTCGAAATGTTATCTTCTAATTTCACTCCTCACGAGTAAAATTAGAAAATGAATCGAAAATGTATAATGTTGATTAATTATCATAATTAAGGCTCATAAAAAAGAGATTTCATTTTACTTTACATTTTCTGATAAATTGTTAGCTCAACGGAGAATTAATTTTTTCTTGAAAATGTATAAGCTCTCTCTATTGTATCGACAAACAACGAAAGAGATATAAACTTATAAAGAACTGTCCTTCACACATTTTGATGGACTTTGGATATGTAAAGCATAAAAAAATATTAGATTAATAATTTTTGTCTACTTATGTCAAAGTTTAAGAGTCGAAACAATCACTCAAAAGTAATGGATTTTTTTATTTTCAGCTATTATCTTCGAAACTATGAGGTATATAACAAATGTTTTATATACGAAAAGTCTTTGGTATTTTCTATTTTTAGCAACGATGTATTCATATTTTTTGAAAATATTAAATTTTTTAATTTATCCGCAATGCTAGGGATTGCTTCGACTCCTAAATTAAAATTTTGAGATAAAAAAATATAAGTCTTATATTTTTTGGTGCTCTACAACATATCTAAAGCACATTAAAAGTGAGAAACAGTTCTGACATTTCTTTTGTTAGTAGATTGGAAGTTAAATCTAATTCTTTCTCGCGAACTTATTCGCATGTAATTTCCAGTGTATCATCAGCGTGACTTTCTCCTCGAAGCTACTCCCTCACATTTATTCACCCCAGTATGCGTCAGCCCTACGCCTAGGTTTTTGCGACGAAACGTGACTGGCTGCCACTCCGCAAACGTTTCATCGAATCACACTCTCGCACGCGATTTTCCATCATACACCCCTAACGTTCAGCACATCCGCGTTTTCCCGAGACACCCTCTTTCACTCGCGTCTTGTTTACTCGGACCCTCCGTGCGATGGATCGAAGAAAGGTAAACGAAGCTATCTCCTCGTTCTCGAATGAATGATAAACGAGTATACCCTGACTTTCCACGCGGAATAATTACGTCGTTTCAAACACGCGTACGTTTGCTTCCACGATATTGATCAAGATACACTTGTATTCTGCTATTCCTTTTAATTAATGCATAAAAATGTCGCGTTTGCACATAGCTGGCGCATACTTACTAAAGTTCAAAAATTTCAAATTTTTGTTGTCGACTTGTTTCAAATTGCGATGTGCGGGCATTGCGCACGTGCGCCGTGCATGGCCTGCAGCGATTCATCGTGAATGAGCCCATATGCCGCGAAAGTCATCCTCGTGTAACGTTACAAAGGGATGTCGGACAATGACGAATGAATCGCTATGTGCTGCGCGAATAATGCCGTCCGTTCTGCCGCGCCGATCACGATAAGCGCGCCGTCCTTAGGGACTATTTTTTCTTTTTGTTCTTTGTCTGTATTCTTTCACCTGACGTATTTGCATCGAGTGATTATGCACCGTCAATATTTAATAAGCGATATTTTCATCGCCGTGCGCAAATCTCGTCATGTCTTAGAAATCTAAATGAAACGCATTTTAGTCTTAACGTTAAAATTTTACAGGATTATCAGAATTATCAATTCCTCATTCTAATATTCTATAACTTTTCCTTGATTTCTAGATATCAGTTTTGCTAATGCTTTTAATATAATTTTGAAATGTTTTATATTTTTATCCTGATTTGAAAACCATTAAATATTTTGTTGAATTATTCATTGGTTGAAAATTTTTGGCAACCACTGTATAATGCGAGCGAAATATCAGTAATACAAGTTAGCATAAATTTTTATTTATATGAACAAAAAATGTTTTAATAAATTTAATTACAACTCGTATCGTACAATAAAAAGAGAAATTCTATGGAACTTTGCAGTAGATTTTTTTTCAAGACGAAGCTAATATCTGCGATCCCTTTTCTTTTCCTTTTTTCCTTCTTTGGCACACTTTATCGGACAGTCGAAGGACTTATTACCGGAAGCGAAGGGGAACAGAAAACGACGGGAAGAGAAAATAGCTGATGCGCGCGATATCTACGTATTGATTTTGTCCCGAGCTTTGAATCCGAATGCGGCGGAACTGGTGAAACCGAACTCGTCCAGGTGAAACCGAGGACTCCGGACCACTTCAGTCAGACACTTGCCTTAAATTGAATTGTACTTTGGAGAGAGGAGCGACACGAACAGGCCAATGCAATTAGCTCGAGTATAGCCGAACAATTATACGAGTTAGTGTCATTATAACTACTCCCGGCAAACATCGTCAGAGAACGATCGATATTACGCGCGCGAGGTGCTCCAATGGACGTCACGTGATCTAATTTCGATTCAATTTCAACGGAACTAGATTATTGCGTACGCATAAGCTGATTTCATTTCTTGGGTAATCCGCAAAAATAGAATATATAACTATATTTCGAGAAGGTGTTCGCAAAAAAGAGTTTGCAAAATTTTTAAATCGCACGTCCTCCTGCAATGTAAGAAAAATCGATACGTGTCGCTTGAACGTGATATAACAAATTGACAAATATTTGCCGTTTTGCTGTTGTCTGGCTAAAATCGCGCGCCATTATATTAGCTTGGATTCTTGTGCAAAAGTGCATCCTGCGCGAGCATGAAGGACAGAAGCAAGAACAAGAAGAAAAAAAGAGACGAAAGACAAAGAATAAAATGAGTGCTCGGCAACAAGGGCGTTCAACGATGGTACCAGATGAAAATGGAACTGCGGAAGCTCGTAAAATGGGAAGCAAAAAATGGCAATTTTTAGTAAAGCTCTGTATCACTTGTGCCAGCATTTCTCATAAGAGCAAAATCGCTATCGCGAGCGAGATACTCGCCAGGACAATAAGGGAGACTCTAGAAAAAACCTACGCTAAAACGCAACAACACGTTTTAAGAACTTGCGTCTTAAGTGCCGTGCCTTTGTAATAAACGAACTACTGGAGATACATTACTTTCTCTTGTATATAAAGAAATTATTGTAGCTTGAAAAGTAGCTTAAAATTCCATACTGAAACGAATTATTTTTGTACACGAGAAACAAACAAATTTTTTAATTTTTGAGTTTTTTTAAATATTTAAATATTTTTATCATGTAACGGAAAAAATAAAAATATGTAATTAAGAAAGAGAAAGAGAGAAAGAGAGAGTTGCAGAATAAAATGTGTGGTAAATCAAGATCGTTACAATTTGTTGATAATAATATAAAATATTCTAAACAAACTTTTTAAAAAAAATTTAAGTTTTTAAGTTAGCAAACAAATATCAAAAGTACATCGCAGAATTAATTTAAAAGAAGCGGCTTCTTTATTAATAATGAGAAATTTTATAAAAATTGCACATCTAATTAAATTTAGTATCGGTTTCTCCGCATATCGCGCGGCGATTTCTAGTCAAGACCACACTCTACGTCCCATGGGTCAATTCGATGGGTTTCTCGGCCAACACCATCATGCGCACTGTGCCTTAATGTCTGTGCCATCGCCTGATGGAGAATGTAGTGCGCAGCCGGCACAGACGGTTCTGTCAAAACCCCCCCACCAATCCTTCGAGTACGGGTACAACCGCCACCGCCACCGCCACCGCCACCTCCACCGGTACTCCACCTCCAGCTCTATCTCTCTTTCTCTTTCTCTCGTCCAACACCGCCGTCCACCATGGAAACCGACTAGTGCGCATTTTGACTTCAGTCAGGCAGACGATCTCAACCTGCCCAGGTCGACGTAGGCAGGTGTTTGTAGAGAACGATCCAATCTACCGGCCGTTGTTGCCAGCCGCGTTCGCATCGCGTCGGATTCTCTCGTCCATCGTGGATTTCCTGAGGTCACTTCGAGGTCACAGTGTCGAAACGAGAGGACAGGGTGACGGAACGGAGCTCGGAGCACCGCGAGCGGGAGTGCCGTCGAAAGGGTCGCGTTGGCGGGGCCCGGCCGGGATTTATGGAACCACCCCATGGATAGTAACATGTCAACCGCCGCCTTCATGCATCGGTATGTGAGAAAAAGAATATTAAATCAATACGCTGGTCGTGTACACATGCATCCAACGCAGATACATGCATATATGAGAAGCGTCCACGCTCCTCCCTGTTCGTGTCGTCGTCCGGTTGGGGTTTCTCGTGGTTCCCTCACGCGGCTTTCAAAAAGCTGCCTCCGTGGCCGATCGATGAGCTCGTTGCTATGTCGTGGCGCTGATAGAAACGCGTAAAGAGACCTCCATATAATCGCCAAAATACACATACCCATGAAACACAAATAAAAGTCAACGGAAAATCAAAATGATTTTATTTTGATTCTTAACGTCATTAAATAGTCAAATTCATCATTTTGACTCTCATGACATCAAAATAAAGTCATCTTGATTTTTTTTATTTGATATTTTCCTTGGATGAGAGCATAGGCATTGAAAAATTACGTACGAACAAGTTCCAAAAAATGAATTAATATTATTCGAAGTGTACAAATATTAGCTGTGCGATTGACATATTTGTTCGATTAAATACCAACGTTTCTGAATAGATCTTGTGCATGCAATACGCCGAAGAATTGCACATTTAACGTGAAGTTTGATTGAAGCTTTTACCGTCTTCAAAAATTGACTGATGACAAAAACACTGTTTCGTTCGTAACGATCGAGTGGATTGTGAAAAGATTTGCGTGCTTATGAAAGAGTCCATAGTAATCAGTCTCAGACTTGTTACTTCAGAATTGTACGAGAAACAATCGGTATCCAAACAATCGGTATTCTGTCGGTTTCATTTTCGCTCTATCACGCTGTTTCGACAAATAGTCACTCTGCCCACGATTAATATTGCAAAATAAAGAAAGAACAAAAGTACTCTCTCTATCTTCCCATACCGCACACTTTATTTAACAAATATCCTAGGAGCATCTTTAAGATATTCAGAAGATATACAGACGTCTTTTGAATGTCTTTTAGGACAGCGTTCCTTAAAGGTCTGTACTGTACAAGTCTCTTCCTCTTTTTTATGTAAAATTATGACTTCTTTTATGTAAAATCTAAATTTTATGTCATGTCCAAATGCTCTGTATTTAATTAACATTCAGTTTTACATCGTGTTCTTCATTTAATAAAATATCTTATATCTACATATATAAGTTTATATCTGCGAGTTTTCGTTATAGTGGAATAAATTACGCGTGCGAATCTCTATATAAGGAGTTGTATACGTGTCGGAGGTAATGTTTTCGATCGAGGCACGACACAGTTCTCTATCCGATCGCCGAAGCGTGGAAGACTCGAGAATCCAGTCGCGGTAATCGTATGCACTTGCAAGGCAGCACGGCAGAGGCTACTAAGACGGCATTCCATTAACCTGCATTTTCGCAGAGGCAGGCGCGTCACCTGTTCGGTTTCCCCGTGTACACGACATGATGTCGAATCGGACCAGCCCGGTTTCCTTGAACCTGCGGATACCGCAGCCATTGACCGCTCGCGGCCAGCTCTCGCCTCGTCTCCGTGACGAAAGGCCCTAAGTGCGCGCCGTTCTCTCTCTCCCTCCCTCCCTCCCTCCCCCTCTCTCCCCCTTCCTCTCCCTTCCTCCGCATCCGTTCCCCACCTTGGCGATCTCTTTCTCATCTCGCCGGACACCACGCGGATGGATACGCTTCTTTGGCGATCCTGTGCTAAAACGCTAATTACTCTTCTGCTAATTGCACTTCTTTGGGCGACATCCTTCGAACACGATATCTTTTTTATAATTTGTAATAGAAACTGGACGTACTGACAGATGTCGCAGCCTTTTTGCGAAATTAGCCTTTTTGCAAAAAGACTAAAGTAGATTAGCCGCCCTTTTGCAGAAAGGCTAATATTATTGGTACCTCCACGATCAATTGTTCATTCCGATTATTAATTGTCAAAATTATCGATCTTCCAAAGTCCTTCCAAGATTTACTTCAATCTCAGACGGTCGCGATACCAAGAATGTCTACATATCTTGCGCAGGAAAAAACGCAAGTTTGCACACGCGCACGATGCGAGTTACGCGAGGTGCAAAGCGAGCGTCGGACGAGAAGAGCGACGAGGTGTATATCTCTCCGGAGCCACGGGATATATTTTATCAGCGCTGGCGGTGCATAAATCCCTTTTTCCTTCGCGCGACTACCAAAGCCAGCTTACTCACTCCGCATTAATTCCGGCCGCGTTACCCTCCTATCTTTCCGGCCCTCCGCCTCGCGCGCATCGAAGTGCATCCCCATGTTCGAATCTCTAGGTGCGGCGGCTGGTCGCGAACTCGTACAAAAGCGAGACGTCGAGTGGCAATCGATATATCTTTCTATCTCTCTTTCTCTCACTCTCGGCTAGGCACGTATATCCTGCGGCTATCGGATGACACGGTGTCGATGGACGAGGAAAGGAACCTTACGGATACGATGACGTTGCCTCGCGAAATGAACGGCTGTGATTGCGATCTCGGTTCGCGAATAATCCTCGGTAGATGTACGATCAGGATAAAAAAAAAGGAAAAGGGGAAAAAACGCTCGGACACGTCCCAGCGAAATTGCGAAAGCGATTTGCGAGCATGTAAATTACAGCACCGCTTCGCAGAATCACCGCTCGTATAGCAGACAGACGTATCCAGTGGGCATTCATGGACCTCCATGAAGTATCCGAACGTCTTGAGAATTATTCCTTGAGAATTATTTATGTTAAATATATAAGAGAGACGCTTCTGATAAAATATTTTATGCGAAAACTACTGGAGATAAATCAAATTAACGCGACGATATTGACTGTTAAGAAATAGCGTTAAAACAAACAATAAATAAACCCAAGCAGAATATACAAAGAAAAAACTTACTGTATGTAAGTAATAATTACTTGTTTCAAATATTTTAAAAAAGTTCATATGTCTGCAATCTATCATAAGTTCATCACAAGCATTAAATTTATTCAGCATATATTCTGACTCCTAGTGAGTCTAATACTTCAATCAAGATTAAATTAAAATAAATTCGACTTGCTTATTATATTATAAAATCAATCTTTTGATCAAAATTTTATATTCTTCTAAAAAAATATAAATTCTTATTTTAAGTAAAGGAAATGATGGTATTATACGCACTTCGTTAATAATCAAAATTTAAATTTAAAACTTCACAATTACATTCGTCAAAGTATTGTTCAATCTAAACTCTCTATTCTAAACTCAAAGTTACGAAACATTTATTATATAGGACATTATTTATAAAAATGTAGCGACACTGCATTAATAACACGAAGAGAAACAGGAGTGATAATTTGGCCTCCTACAAAAATAGATTTAAAAAATTGATTTTGTTTAAAAAAACACAGTGTTTGGTAACAAAATTAATAAAAAGGTAAAACGTTTTAGAATGTATGCAAATGTATATACATACATATAATTTCTGCATATAAGCTGTTCAGTACTAAAAATAGTACACGTAATATAAACTATAATAGATTAACAGTAGAGTTATAATCGATTATCAAATGATTATTTTGATATAAAAATTTCAAAAAAGAGGCTGTAAGTAATCAATACGCATAGAGGACCACATCAGCAAAATGCCATGTTATTGTTCAAATTTGCATAACTCAAAATATATAGTCAAATAAAATGTTGAATAGCACATAATACACTCAAATATACATATATTCGTGTGATAATACGCTAAAGTTTAAAAAAAATGAGGAAGTAGGTGTAATTAAATGCTAAAATGTATCTTAGGAACGTTTCGAAATACTTGAAAGTAAAAATGCATTATAATAAGTGCTGGCTATTGAGTATTGGCATATTAGCGTCATGGTGTAACGGCGAGCTACTGGTAAATAATTCCATAAGCAATTATTATTCGCTATATAATAGCGGAGATTAAGGGAGGCACAATATCTACATGGCCATGATACCATCTTCTCTTCTACATAATAATAAATTTTTCTAAAAAATTTGTAATAAGTATATATTTTAAGATTATTATTAAGAAAAAATATTCTTTGTTAAAGATTACTATTAAAAGGAAGAAAATAAATTGAGTAATCATTTTTCTTAGCAATAGAATGATATTTTTCTGTATACAAGTCATAAAATCAATATAACGTCAAAATATCTCCAAAATGACTCCATAATGTCCATTTCTACCAATATAGATTAACTTAATCTCGGTTTAATTTACTCTTTATCCTTTTTTAATTCTTAGAACTAGAAAAAGATAAAAAGTAAATTAAACTATAATTTAAATTAACTTACATCGGCATAAGTTGCATTTGAAAAATTTACCTGAATACTCTAGTGAATCATCCTACCTTTATCGTCCATTGGACGTAAACAAAAATAAAATGACACACTTAGGCACTCGGATAAAGTTTCCAAACGCAGCCTAAAAGCCACTTTTTAATCAGTAACGATTCTTTTTAATGTTATCGTAACTTGTTTTGTTTGAGAAGTCTCGACTGGAAAAAGCTATTCATAAGCAAAAACACGGTTCCCAGAAAACATATGTTTACAGATTTTATTCTACCTCGTAGGATGTAACTATTTACAGCTTCCATTAATGTTAACTATAGAATAAACTCAGAACTTTATTTTCCTGAGTCTCAACACGAACTTTTGGCTTAGGTGTCCTTTTTCCATAGCCGGCACTTTCTCAATTATACAAGGCTTGCTCTGCGACGCAGAGAAGGCTGCCGTAATTCGAGGTACATGTTGGCGAACTGGAGCAGCGAACGCGCGGAAAAGCATACGGAAAAAGAGGATTTTCTCCTCGGCAACCGGTCGTACTCTCTAGCACTAGTCTAGAGAGACAAACAGTGTGACACTTTGCGATACGAGAAAGAATAAGGTCACACAAAGTCAGCGTGCTCGCATTCGATCACGGCGCTGCGCCATTCGCGTTAAAAGTTCATTCACGATGCAGCTGGAAGTTCCGCATGTTTCTCTGCTCGCGACTCATTGCGACCGATAATTTAACTACCTCTGTATTCGTGACAAAACGAGAAGTTCGATAAT